TAGGGGCACCGAACACCCTCACAAAACTTAAATCGAGCCCGTATAGAACCCTAAACCCCAACACCCAAACCCTAAACTAAACCCTCAACTCCTAAACCTTAAACCCCAAACCCCGAACCCTAAACTAAACCCTCAACCCCTAAACCTTAAGCCCAAAACCCCAAGCCCAAATCTAAACCCTGAACCCTAAACCCAAAACCCCCAAACCCTAAGCCCTAAACCCTAAACCCCAAACCCCAAACTACACCCTAAACCCTAAGCCCTAAACCCCAAACCCCGAAGCCCTATTGGCAGGTGAGATCAAACCTCACATGACTGGACCGAAGGCGCACTGAGTGGCTTTTGAAGGGCCCTTCCAGAAACGCAGACCCCACGCCGCTTGAAGAGGGTTTAGGGTTTAGGGTTTAGGGGTATGGGAGTTCCGGAACTTTGGTGTTTTGGGTTGAGGGTTTTTGTCGTTTTGGGGTGCAGAAGTCTCAGCATGTAGCGGCTTGTGGTCTGTTTTTGTGGCCTTCCAGCCACGATGAACGTGCTGAATCAGACCCCTTCGGGCTCGAAAGGCCGCGAGTGGGCCTGATGCCTGAAAAAGGGATCTGATAGCATTCCGAGGGAAAGGAAAGTCGCTCGAGGGCGCCACACGCGGGAAGCAATTGAAGAAGCTACCTCGAGCTACCCTGTGTGCAGGGCAAATACGGCTCAGAACGTGAAACCACAAAGCCTTGCAGCCCAACGCTTATAAGATCCTGAAAGGGGGGTGGTTCAAGAGGGGAAGATGCTGGGATTTTTGAGGAATTGTAAGGGGTATTGGGCATCAGGTTGTAGGCACCGCTTGAATCCCCCTTTTTGCAGCAGGGTCGCAGCCCCGCACATGTACAGTTCAGGAGCCCGCTGATGCTCAAGACTTAGAGGGTTTATGAGACGGATCTCCATTTTTTCAGGAAGTTCCGAACTAAACCCTAAACGCTAAACACTACACCCTGAACGCTGAACGCTAAACCCTAAACCTGAACCCTAAACCTGTGAGCTCTCAGGCCCTCAGCTTTATTGTAAGCCTTAAGCCCCCAACCGCAATGCCCTAATGCCTCAACCCTCAGCTCCAAACTTACGCCCCAGCCGTAGCTATGGCGAAGCAATATCTTCTCTAACGCCCCCAGTCCCGAGCATCCATTGGCCGGGTTCCAGAATGTCGAGGGTATCTTATTCGGGGGTTCCGTGTAAAATTCTACTGGATGGAGTCTGTCTGGGGGTTCCTCGTTTGTCTGAAAGGTGTAGGGTTCGAGGTTGAGGGCCTAAACAAACTCCCACTAACCTCAAGAAGCCCTCAAACCTCAGTCGGTGCGACTTTTCCCTCCTTCGGAGATGATAATTTGATGCTGCGGTCGACCGGGTGCTGGGCGATTAAACTTGTTGAGGACATGAGCTGTTCTGGCTGTCAGGCTCCTTTGCCTAGCTTGCGTCCAGGTGTAGGCCCTAAACCCTATAAACCCTAAACCCTAAACCCTAAACCCTAAACCCTAAACCCTAGGCGTCAGCTTTGGGGTTCGGGGTTTGGGGATCTCGGGCTGGAGGTCGGTTTCGAAACCTCCAGCCCTGACCACACGGTTTAGGGTTTAGGGTTTAGGGTTTAGGGTTTAGGGTTCAGAGACGCAAAGAGCATGGCCTCAAGCTGTCGCACTTCATCGCAGCTCCGGGGTGGAAATGCTCACAGGAGTCGAACTCCCTGTTGATCAAGGAACAGGTGGAAACTCAGCCTGTCAAATGATCCCACAAAGCTCGTAAACCCTAAACCCCAAACCCTAAACTCTGCAGCAAAGATGCGCCGAAGGGATGGTCCTGCCATCATCTATTGAGGGCCAAGATTTCGTTAAAGCAAGCACCCGTCTATGTGGGTCTTCATGATGCATCCTTCTATCTGCAGCGTCTTTTGCCTTATTATGGACTTTCCTGGTATGCTATCGCATGACTATGTGTTGAAATCAGACGTCTACACCACCGTATCCTGCAGTGTTGTATCTTGTCAGGTAGCATTCTGTACTGGGTTATGGCATAGCGTTTCCTCCAGTATCCATTGCAGATTCAACGTTTTGGTTCAAGTAGGTCTCGGCACTTCTCGGCCAAGCAGCCCGTGTGCTTTTGTAGCCACCCGACAGGCTTTGCCTGCGTCTTAGAAAAAGAGGTCCGTGCGCCGGCTGTCCGGATTCAAGTTCAGAGACCCCAAGAGACGAAGCCAAAGTTATAAACTCTAAACCCTAAACCTTAAATCCTAATCCTTAATCGTACGAAGTACTTAAGTATAAAGCCATCCAACTCAAAAAAACAACAAAACACCATTGTACAGTTGTAAGTGATATGGTTCTTTGTTCATAAAAATTTGTAAAAAAAGCCCTTAACCCTAAGCCCCAAGGCCTCTGCCGAGGAGCATCTGGCGGATGGGTTTAGGGTTTAGGGTTTAGGGTTTAGGGTTTAGGGTTTATGGTTGGTTGGTTCAGGCCTTCGTTCAGTGCGTCAGAGTGCTTTGTACTCTTAAACGGTATGGTCCCCACTCGTTTCGTGTGTGTTCCCTTGTGTTGAGGTCAAACTTCTCTGGGAGAGGCGAAAGGGAGCTGTCCGATTTGAGGTCTACAGTTATCAAATGTCGTGGTTTCGTAGGGGTGCACCTTCTTGTGCGAGAGAGGGTTGGAGAGATTGCTGAATACTGATGCAGACGGCTTGCACCCTGATTGCAAGCCATTCAGCAGAATTTCCCGGTCACTCCAACTCGTGCATTGCGACTCTCGATATGTGTGCAGGAAAATGTCACGGAATCAATCACAGTATCGAGAGCAAGTCTTTGATAATAGTTTTGATCACATGCTCAAGTTTTGGGGCTTCATGGCTTCAATCGCTACCTGGATATATACTCTTTGACACCTGCAGCACCATGTTGACTGTTGAGCCTGCGGCAGCCACAAACTCTAATGGAGTCTTGTCGAAAGCCAAAGCCCAGTCTAAACCGAAAGCCCCTCAGTGCTTGAGTATTGAGCCCGAATCTCCCGAATCCCTGCATTCCTACGTGCTTGAGCTTGTTTCATATGGGTAGTTTTCTAAATTAGGGTCCCTTTTTAAAGTCCCCAATATGGTACGCGCCCTTGTAAAAAGGACTTTGAAAGGGACCCTAGTTTAGAGAACTACCCATATGGCGGAAACCGCCAGCTGCCAATGCCAGAGTCTCCCAGGCGGGGCTTTTGCTTTTCCTCCGTAGGTGTGTGTTTCAGGCCGCATAGCGTCAGAATCAGCAACAGTTGTTGCGCTGTTCTGTTTCACTCGTCTCGATCTTGCTTGTCATACGGTCAAGGCCTGCGTTCCCTGATCTCACCAATTTCGCGATTATTGATATTGGCTGGGTGTTGTCGGCTAATGTACAAGTTATGTTTATCGGAATGTTTCGCCGGTGCTTCGAGCGAGTCTTGCGTTTGACTGTTGCTTTTCGGTTGAGTAGGCACGAGACGCGCACGAACGCTTGCAGCTAGTAGCATGGCGCCGGCCCGGAGCCGTCAGTGCCAACATCTCTTCTCTGCTTGGACAGCGAGCGATACTCTGCGAGCTGCGTTCGAGCATCCGAAGGCCCCAGGCCCAGACCAAGCCCAGACCAAGCGTTTGCCTGTTGGATGCCGAACACACGTAGCTTGAGGTTCAAAGTGTACAGCAGTGAAGCTATAGTCTTTTTCCACAAGCAATTAAGGACCGGTGGTCGGTAAGTCAGAGTTCTTCTTGCGCTCACAGCTAATTAAACGCATTCTGCACTGGCCGTTCACCTTGGGTGATGTTGAGGCTGTGATGTTGGTCCTTCGTGGGCCACGGCCCACCCCGACCAGGCCTGGCGGTTGCTGCCAGTCAGGCAAGTTTTCAGGCTGAACATTTTCTAGGACAAGGAGTGAACCACATACAGTCACGTCTCTGGAGTGCAGGCTTGAGGGCCCAACTAGTGAATGTGGCAAGGATAGTACCATCCAAGACTTTTCTCGGTTGCAGGCCGGCAGGGGCGATGAGACGCTGGATAGCTGCAGATGAGTTGGCCCATGGCGACGATAAGAACTTGCACAAAGAAGCCCATATTAAAGGGTAAACAACCACCGTCGAGCGTGGACTTCTTTCACACAAGTTGTCGTTGCCATGGGCCAACTGACCTGTAGCTATCGCTGCTCCACAACAGCCGTGGTGCGAGCCTGAGGTCTGCAGGATTTGTGCTTCGGGCACACAAATCTGGAGTCCCGTAGCTTCGGTCGTCAGCTTTTTGCTTTATTGAAGATGGGTTTCGCGTCGGAATAGCGGGCCTGGGCCACAACTTCTGTCCCAACCTCGACGGTGTGCCGTCCGTGTTTTGAGAGGCATTTACAATCAAGCACCCTCCCTCTGTCTCTCTGTCTCTCGCTCTCTCTCTCTCTCTCTTTCGCTTTTTCTGTCTCTGTATTGCTCTCTTTGCATGTTAGCGACTTTTATGTGAAGCCCTCGCGACCACAAATTTTGTGTGGCGATGCCTGTGCTTAAGTTTTTAGTTACGAGGCCTGGTCGTGCCTGTGACGAGAATTGCAGTCTTCGTGGTAGTTGTGCATGCTTATTGTTGTGTATGTTGTCTCGCGTGACGACGCTAAGTTTGTGGCCGTAGATTCAGGGAATTGTACACTTGACCGACGGACGTCATCATTGCGTCTCCATGCATGCTGTCAAGGCTCAGCTGTGTCCGACTGTTGCCTGCTTGTTGGTGCCGGGGCCACTTTGCATCCTCGAGGACTCCAAGGCCGGACCGGAGTAGAAGGCAAGAGCCGGAGTGAAAGCAAACGGGCCGAGCTTCGTCAGTAGCAGGTGCCCGGAATCCGGTGCGCGGTGTAGAAGCCCACGGGTTGCGACCTCTTCTGAACGATCGAACAGCGACTAATGTGACCCTAATGGTGTTATGCAGCAGTGGAGCTCAAGACTCTGATCGTGTGCTTGTTTTTTTCCGTGTGCTGTTCTGCAGTGACATGGGTGCGTCGCAGTCGACTTTGCGTGCTCTGCAGCGTGCGCGGCCCGTCGTGGTCGCAGCCCCAGTGGTCTGGGCTATTCCGCGCCAGTACTGGCATTGTGAGACCCCAGCACCTGCACCAGTGCAGGCAGCTCCGAAGCCTCCAGAGATTCTACGTGTGCCACCTGCAAAGGTGCCACAGCGAGTGCTTTGCCCGGCACCAGCTTTCAAAGAGCGTAAGATCTCAGACGGCGCCGTGTGCAACATTGTTCTTCTTGGCTTAACTGGTGCAGGGAAGTCAACTCTGGCAAACCAGATTGCAACAACCCGGGCTTTCAAGTCTGCTGCTTCCATGTCCAGTGTGACAGAGAAGGTGCAGCATGAAGAGTTTGAGTTCAATGGCGAAAGATACCGCGTGATTGACACTCCCGGCTTTTTGACACCACCCTGACTGATGAGCAGGTTATAGCGGCTCTTCAGCAGTTTGCAAATGTCGCGGAGGAGGGCTTGGTCGCAGTGATTGTTGTCGTAAAGTACGGGCGCTTCACCGACGAGAACCAAGCAGTCATTAAGTACATCGAGACTGTGCTTGGACATGAGGCGTTGGTCAAGCATGGTATGCTTGTGGTTACCAGCACACGCAAGAGCACTGACGAGCTTCAAAAGGAGCTGGCAGCTCTGCTCGACAGCAACTTGGGCCGGGACATGGCACGCAAAGTTGGCAGCCGCCTGCTGGGTGTTGACAAGTCATTCTTTCGGTGGCCACCGTTCAAGACGAAGAACGACATCATGCACCAGGTGGAAGAGCTTCTAGCCACGAACAAGAACATGGGAGTTGATTGCGATGTGATGAGCTGGGGAGCGCGACTTCAGCAGCAGCAACTCATGGAATTTGAGCAGCAAACTGCATCACAGCGAAAGCAGCATGCCGAAAAGGAACAAATGTTGAATGAATGTCATGCGAATGACAGGGAGAACATCATGAAAGAGAAACGTGCCATCGAAGAGCTGTTGCAAGAGACGCAAGACAAGCATGATGAGACGTTGAAGCAGATGGCACGTCGGCTCCAGTTGGAGGAAAATACTTCATTGACTTTGAAGAGCAGGCTCGAAGACAAGCAAAGGCAAGTGAGCGACTTGGAGGCGAAGATCACAGAGGCCATGCACGTGATGCCCGGGGGAGGTCTTCTGCACAGGGAGGGTGACGCTGCAACCGCCCTAGCAGGTGTTGTGGTTGGTGCGGCTGCCACGGCGATGGCAGGAGCGTGCGTCGTGCAATGAGAGAGATTGGAAGGGGATCGGTAGGTTGTCCTGCCGTGGATTACGAGGACTGGCTGCCCGGGATACTGGTAGACAAGTTCCCAGGGCTTTGACATATGTCTAGCTCAAGGTGCAAGCTTAGTGCTAGAAATAGCAGCCCGGTGTTGCTGCAGTTGAGTTTGTACGAAGACGCCTTGCAAGGAAACTTGCCATGCTGCCAGGAGACGGACTCGACGGCCAGCCAACCCGGAATGCCTCATGCGATCGTAAAAGCACGGGTGAGTGCCCAAGCTGCAGCGACTGTGTGGTACTGTGCAGGGCGCATGAAGTCTTCTTACACGGGCCTGTCATGTAGTTTGCTCAACATGCTCGCTGCGAGCTGGCAAAGCCAAAGATCCTAAACCCCACCGGGAGCTCTGGATTGCATATCTTAACTATACTGACTTTACCGTACAAGGCGTGAAAGCCCAAGGCTGAATCTCACGAGGAGTCTTTGGCCAGCAGAGCCGGCATCAGGATTTGTCCTCCTATCCTGAGCGCCGCCCTGCAGCTGTTCTCAAGCTGGGCTCTGCCCACCCACGTTGCATGGAATATTTGCCGGCAGAGTGCTGGGCATAGACACCTGTGCATCCTTACATCAGTTCTGAGGTGACATCCAGGCCTTGACAAAGACTGCGAGCTCGGCTACCTAAACACAGGGCCCCTCATGTATCAGACATCTCCCGCTACTGCTTCTAGATTAGACAGTTCCGGCTCTATTGCCCTGAGGGGCCTAACCAGTCTTCTAAGCTCTGACCACCCTGAGCCCTGAGCTCCTTACTGCACGTGGAAGCCTTCGGCTGTCTGCGCCGCCAGGCGGGGCTCCCGTCTGTCTTCGTGTGTGTGTGTGTGTGGGTGTGTGTAGGTTTCGACAGTTTAGGCCTTGGTTTCTTGGGAGTAGGTAAACCCTAAACCCTAAACCTCAAGCCCTAAGCCCTAAAACATGCTCCAGGTCTCCATGGTGGCAGAAAGCCGGGGGGCCCTGGCGCTCAGCGATGCCGTGCAGCAGGTGGATAAGCCCTGTGTGGGGTTTTGGGAATTTGGGGTTTTGGGGTTTAGGGTTTAGGGTTTAGGGTTTAGGGTTTTGGGAATTTGGGGCTTTGGGGTGTTGGATGGGGTTGGGACTTTGGGTTTGGGTTTTTGGGATTTAGGTTTGTGTTGGGACCTAGGGTTCAGGGGTTTTGGGATGTAGGGTTTCGGGTTAGGCTTTCTTGTGGTCTTCATATCGGGGCTTCCCAGGATGTCAGGCTCCGGGTGCAGAGTTTGAGGCTAAACCCGAAACCCTAAACCCTAAACCCAAAACCCCTAAGCCCTAAACCCTAAGCCCTCTAAGGGTTGAATTTGAATCATTTGGGTCTGGAGCTTCGGACCAGAGGTCTACGATTGGCGGGGTTTTGGCTGTCATTTTGGTGAATTTTCGCGGCTTCGGAGCAGTCCAGGCGAGGCATTCGTGGATCCGTTCTGGCATCATGGGGTTGGACAAACAGTCAGCCTCAAGCTCTATATCCCGCACCTTGCAACTTGCAACTTCGTTTCGAATGTAAGGCACACTGCAAAGCTACCAACTCGAACCTCCTAAACCCTATTCAGGAAGTCCAAAAAAGGCACCTAACCATAACGTTTGGGTGGGATGTCTTTACTGGTCTGGCCTACTTAAACGGGGGATGATGGGATATCTTAACCTTATGACTGCTTTTAAAGTGCTTCTGTAGGTTCCCACCTAGTTTTGAGGGCCTGGGGATTCCGGAGCAAGATTTCAGACCTGAGCGTCATGAGCGGCCAGCCCAGCAACTCCAAAACCAGGAACGGCATGGAACGGCGCTAGGCGCTCAACCCCAAACCTTGAAGTCCTAAAGCCTGAACCCTAAGTCCACCCTAAACCCTAAACCCTCAACCCTAAACCCTAAATTCCTAAAGCCTTAACCCCAAGTCCGCAACCCAGTCTCCGAGGCCCACGATGTAAGGTCCCAGGCTCCTCCAACAAAAGCCGAGCACTGAGATCTGAGCCCCACGCGTCAAAATTGCCCCCC